CTGCTCACAGCTAGGTTTTGTTGTGAGGATTGAATGAAGTCATGCAGGAGGAGGGCCACCCACAGTGCAGCTCCAAGACCAGAGTTGCTTCACTTCACGTTGCTTTCCTTTTCTATGACCCCCAGGCATTGGTAAATTGTGGCAGAACAAACCAGTGCATCCTCCGAAAGGAAAAAAAAAAAAAAGCATCTTTACCCTAAAAGAAGGGATTATAGGACCTGTAGGGACAGACCAGAGAGTGGTTGGAAAACTGCCTCTCTCAGGGCAACATGGGGGGGCTAAGACTTGTGAGCCCCACAAGTGCCAGGCTAGTTTTGCCAGTGATTTCTTCAGGGTGTCATCAGACCTATACCTTGATTTGCAGCTTAGAATTCAGTACCGACTCACCCTACCAACAAGCATCGCTCCCCACCTTCCACTTACCCTGCCATCCTTCTTTCCTAAAGAACAGGGCACACATCTCCTCAGGTCAATAGCTTTGTTTTTCTTTTCTAGTTTCCTCACAGCCCACCCTCCCCCCCCCCAACTTTGTCTTTTTGGAGAAAAGAGGAATCTTAGGGTCTGAGTAGTACAAGGCACTGTGCGGAGAAGGAAGGCCTGAATATCTAGGGGTGAGTGATGCGATACAGCTGGGCCTGCCCCAGAACTCCTTCTGGATCCTCGTCAAGGCCTCTTTCCCTAGGGAGCCAGCCGAAGTTAGCTTCCATCCCTATTCTCTATTTCTACCCCTGTCATAACACAAACTACTCTAGAGTTGCTTGTTAGTTGTCTGTCTTCTCTACTGGACAGTGAGCTCCATGAGAGCAGGCACTGCAGTGTTCACCACTAGATCTGTAGCCCAGGGCAATGTGCCTGGTACACAGTAAACTATATAAATGTTTGATGAATGGAGAAAGGAAGGAAGGAAGGGAAGGAGGAAGGAAGGACCTCTCCACCACCACCCTTGTCCCAAGTAGACCCACAGTTGCCCTGTTCCATGCTAGGACATGTTCCATGTGCTGGGACCACATCCTTAGAAGATGTGGTCCCAGCCCTAAAGGCCTAAAATTTACGTGTTTCTCCAACCTCATATCCACCTTTAGAAAAACAAAGTGCAAGGGAAATTCCTGTTTATTCCAAACCTCATGCTCTTTATTTTACCACCATAATCAAAAATAGATCTCCTGAGTTTAAGGGAGGTTCCCAAGTACAAGGAATTCTGGGAAGAATTACAGGGTTCAAAAGGTCTGAAGTCTGTTCTAATCCTAGCTCTGCCACCTCTACTGTGTGACCTCGGGTGAGTGATTTCCCCTCCTGGGCCTCAGTTCTCTTCCAGTAAAATGATGGGGTGGACCAGACCCTGTATGAAAATAAACACACTTGAGAGAATTCCTTGGCAGTCCAGTGGTTAGGACTTGGCACTCTCACTGCTGGGGCCCTGGGTTCAATCCCTGGTCTGGGAACTGAGATCCTGCAAGAGGCCAAAAAAGAAAGAAAGAGAAAGAAAGAAAGAGAGAGAGAAAAAGAAACAACAAAGAAATGGAGAGGGAGAGAGAGAAAGAAAGGAAGAAAGAAAGAAAGAAAGAAAAAGAAAGAAAGAAAGGAAGGAAGGAAGGAAGGAAGGAAGGAAGGAAGGAAGAAAGAAAGAAAGAAAGAAAGAAAAGAAAGAAAGGAAGAAAGAAAAGGACTTGAGTGCATTTGACTACGCTGTTGTAACTGGATGGTGTCCTCCTTCCTAAATGCTTAGGGGCAGGGTAGATGCAGCATCTAAGTAAGCTGAGGGGAGGGAAGACAGTACGTGCCTACTTCTGTCTGTAAACAGGAAGGCCCAGGATGTGCTGCCCCTCGGGTGAATGGTCAGGGGGCGGTGGAAGGATGAAGAGGGCCTTGCCACGATAAGGCCCTCCCCAAATGTGTCTTTGCCTCTAGGTTTGCAAGAGAGATGACTCCAAAGCCCCAGCATCTTGATGGCACTGCCAAACATGACCCCCTGTTCCCCATTGAAAACCAATACACCCCCTCATGTCTGCCCACCTCCTTCAGAGGGAGAACCCGGGGAGAAATAGCTGGTGGGGGGCGGAAGATGGTACAGCCTGGAAAAGCACTGGGGGTCCGGGCTTCCTGGAGGGGCCCCATTTCAAGCTTGCTCAGAAAGCACAAGTGGGGAGCCTCCTGGTCCCCTGCAGCAGTTTCTTAGGGAGGACAGTGGACTTGGTGGACACAGGTATCCAGGCCCAAAGGCTTCCTGGCTTCAGTCCAAGCAGCTGGCAGGTTCATCCTTCTCCCCAGGGCCCCAGAAACACCACTTCCGGCCCTCCAGCCCCTGCTTGGGCTCTTCCTGGCTAGAGGTCTCTGCCCAAGCCCGCCCTCCGTGTGCAGAGCTCTCTCCCTCCCTCACACCGCTATTTCGCTCTCAGTCTCCGTATCTATTTCTTCTCCCCGCTTCCCCTCCCCCCCTGCCTCT